CCCCCCCCGGCCCCCCCCCCCAGCCACCCCCCCCCAAGCCTGTAGAGTTGTATGGAGTTGTTGTGACCCAAGTGCAGGACGCAGCACTGAGCCTTGTTGAACCTCATACAGTTGGCCCCGGCCCAACGATCCAGCCTGTCCAGGTCCCTCTGTAGGGCCTTCCTGCCCTCCAGCAGATTGACACTTCCACCCAGCTTGGTGTCATCTGCAGACTTACTGAGGGTGCCCTCAATCCCCTCATCCAGATCATCAATGAAGATATTGAACAGGACCGGCCCCAACACTGAGCCCTGGGGAACACCACTCGTGACTGGCCACCAACCAGATTTGACTCCGTTCACCACCACTCTCTGGGCTCGGCCGTCCAGCCAGTTTTTAACCCAGCAAAGCGTACACCTGCCCCAGCCGTGAGCAGCCAGTTTCTCCAGGAGAATGCTGTGGGAGATGATGTCAAAGGCCTTACTAAACTCCAAGTAGACAACATCCACAGCCTTCCCCTCATCCACTAAGCAGGTCACCTTGTCATAGAGGAAGACCAGGTTAGTGAAGCAGGACCTCCCTTTCATAAACCCATGCTGGCTGAGCCTGATCCCCCGATTGTCCCACACGTGCCGTGTAATGGCAGTCAGGACGATCTGCTCCATGACCTTCCCCGGCACTGAGGTCAGGCTGACAGGCCTGTAGTTCCCCAGATCCTCCTTCCGACCCTTCTTGTAGATTTATAGAACTGCTGATTTGAAACTGGAAAAGTTGAGCGTGGGTGTTTTATAGACCTTTCAGTAAGGAAGGAAAGAAAATTTTACTTCACTAGATTTCAAGTGATAAGAACAGGGAGGTAGTATTTTTTTAGCAGCATGTGAGAAATTTCTAGTAATTTGTCCTACCTCTTCTCTTTCATTCCTTTTCTCTAGCCACCTTAATAACGTTACTTTCCAACAATATGAGGTTATGTTCAGTTAAGGATCAGATGCAGCACTCTGCTCTCCCTGTTTCTAGAGAAAGATTTTTAAATGCAAAAAAAACCCAAAACCAAAACAAAAATAAAAATCCCACCCTTCTTCAGATAGAAGACCTCACTAAAGTTTCACAATTAGATACTAAATTTAAGAGCTTAAACCAGTAGGATTTGGGGTGATGCTTAACATTTTTATCTTGAGAACTGGCAAGAACAAGTTAGTAATGATGTTAAATTCTGGTAACCTGCATATTTCACTGATTCAGGGTTTTTTAAAAAACTGAATTCCCTTCAGTGGCAACTTTGTTACAGACTCGTAAAACATGGAGCTGCAGAATTAACATTGTAGTTAAGTAAAGACGTTGAGAATTCCCAGTTGTGGAGTCTAATAGGCCTGAAATAAACTGAAGAATTTTTCTGTAGAATTGTCTTAAAATTTGGAGGTGGCCTGGTTTCCATTTCTTAGTCCAGTTTCTCCAGAAGCTCATAGCCAATGAATGGAAACCCAAGTCTGGCATGGGAAGCTGAGACCAACCACATGACATGCATTGACTGAACAGGTCAAACAAACAGATCAGTGACAAAGCAACTGGCATTTAAAAGGTCATAATTCAGACATCAGATCAGTTGTGTTAATTTTCTCACTAACTGTTGAATTCAGCCTCAACTATGACCTTACTGCAAGTTTAAAATGAATAAGGACTGTGCATCCACAAAACTATTCTCCCCCAATCCTTGTGTGAGTTCATGTATAATTCTGCTTACACAACATAATTAGGGAAAAGAAGGTTGACCCAACCTCCGTCTCGTGCCAAAATGAAGATGTAGCAGTATGCACTGCATGGAGACGCCCAGAGACGTGTGCCTGGCATCTGGGTAGCTAGCCCGGCCCCTGTGCGGCCACATAGATGAAGCCCATCCTGGCTGTGGAAGAGTCCCACGTGCAGCTGTCTGCTAATGAAGCTGAATCTGTGGGGGGCGGGAAATAATTGTAGTCTGACTGTCGTAATCTATCAGAGCTGTAGGTTTCGTATATCATGCTAGAATTACAGAGCATTGAGGAAGAACCTAAACGATCATCTTCTGTGTTTGTGAAGGGGTGGTGAACCAGCCAGGATTTGGCCTCATTGTACAAAACACAGTACGCTTGCAGAATGAGAGAGTTCTGTCCATAAAAATGTACACTCTAAATAAAAAGAAAACAAACACAAAGAACAAGAAGAGAAAGGAATTATTCTCCTTTTAGGAACAGAAGAACTAAATGAGCTGTCCAAGCCATGCTGGACACTTCTGGTAGAGCTAAGATTTGGTGGCAGACTGATGCTCAGCTGATGTATTTTTTCAGTGCTCACTGTTACTTTTATTTGCTCACATCTGTTGTGCCAAAATTTTTTCTCAGATGGTATGAGAAACATCTGCTAGTCATCCAAGAAGCAGTGTAAACAGACCACTAGTAATCTCTAATAAGTAATAGTGAGTGTTGATTTGCTTTCTAAATTACAAGAGTAAAATACCTTTCAACTCTTCCATTTACATTTGAATTTAAAAACCAGGGGCTTTCTCATCAAAAGGAGAAGCGTTAGTTGCCCAGTTGCAAGTAGAGTCTCGAAATGCTGCTTTATGCTCGCTGCTGCTCAGCAGATGTTTTCTCTTTCCTGGCAGGATAGGGAACAAGAACTGGAGCAACTGACAAAGGAGCTGCGACAGGTCAATCTCCAACAGTTCATCCAGCAAACAGGAACGAAGGTCACGGTGCTGCCAGCAGACCCCGTTGAGGTGGAGGCGCCGCATGTGGAGCTCGAGAGAGGTGCAGCGCTCGGAACGCTTTTGGTGGGCGGGAGACGGGGATGGCAATGCATTTACCTGCTGCATACATCAAGTGACTGCTCTGTTAGCAAAGAAGTTAGCAAAATATTAAGGAAGTACAGTGTCAAATATTTATTTTCATTCCAAGGGTTTAGTGAGCTATAAATAAAGCGTAGTATGTAGATAACGTCTCTCCCACTGTGCCCGGACATGTGTTTGTCCCATCAGTAACCCATTAGGCCAGTATCTTTCAAGTGTGGCTACCATGGCTGCAGGCATGTAAGCTGGCACGCAGCATGATTGCATGTCTGACATTGCTGTTCGTCTGGGTTCTTCCTCTTCTGGGGGGATGTGTTGTCAAAGTAGAAAAAGGAATGTGTCTGGATCTTGAGAAATCCCAGACAGCAGCCGCACGGGAATAGGAGCTAATCCAGCTGGGCTGCCAGCCATCCAGAAGCCCTGCACAGATGGCTGTAACGGCGCCTGCAAATTGACTTTGCCCCTAGTGGGATCAATGCATTCTGCACGTGCCCGCATCGGAATTCAGTGTCCTCGGGAGAAACATGGGAGCACTTTGAATGCGTGTCACAACCGTGGCACGAGCAGAAACTCCTCTGCTGTGGTGTGCGTTACCCAGCACCCTGCTTGCGAGGGGCCTGTTTCTCTCAGCATTCTCCTTAGCCAGTTCTGTCCCTCCTCTCGGAAACCTTTCTAGCCAAAAGGCGTTGGGAGGGTAGGGAGGTGGGGAGAGAAGAAAAGCCAACCAGACCTTAAATGTCAGCACTTGTACGAAGTTTCTCTTTGAAGTGGGCAGGAAGCTGAACCTTTGAGTTACAAATAGGTACAAGCTCTTTCTGCACATGACTGTATACGTGTATTGCACGTGTCCGTGTGCATGTTCCTTGTGGGAGGGTATTTATATTGAGTAGGTATATCTTTCTGTTTCGAAATGAGTAGGAGGTGTGCACCTTAGATCTCATCGCTTCCCAGTCAGGCATTTGAATTTTTTGTTGTATGTGGGATTAGTTTTTCTATACTGCACTAAGCGCATGCTGCAGCAAGCAGGAAGAGGAGGGGTGTTCTACAGCCATCACTCTTGCTGGTGACTTTGCTAACTGCCCTTTTTCTTGTGCAGAACCAACATTTCAGTCTGGGTCACTGAAGCGCCCTGGTTCATCGAGGCAACTCCCCAGTAACCTTCGGATTCTACAGAATCCCCTGTCGTCTGGTTTTAACCCGGAGGGCATTTATGTATGACAGTACCGTACCTCTTCTGGAGAGGACCTAGCAAGGTACCCCGGACAAAATACACTTTTGTTTTATTCTGCCAATAATGAATGGAAGAAGATTTTTTTTCTTTTTGTTAAGCCACCATATTTTTTTTTTCTTCTTCCTCCAACACACCACTTGGAGCCATACCCTGTGCACTGATGCTAAAGAGACAGAGGAACTCTCTCGTTTCATATTTGGCAAGGATGAACTTGCTGTGAACATAGCTAGAGTGCAAAAACCTTCGCTTGTTTTTGCCACTTCAGAAGTGTTTGGGAAAGTATTGTTCCATGTATAGGCATAAATAAAAGACTGAGGGTGAAGGAAACCATGTATGCAACTTACCCGAGGTTTAATTTATTCCCTTTAGTCAATGGACGTGTGAATGTTGACCTTTTATATTTTTATTTTTAATTTGTGAATAATCACGTATGGCTGTATGTCAGTCTGACAAGGTGACTTTAATTTGCGTGTACAACCATCCGCCATTTGATCAAGTACAACAACTTGCAATGCAGAGTTTTGTGGAGTGCCGAACCATTAAAATGGTTTCTCACCACTGACTTTGTTAATTTCTGTTGTGGGTCATAATATGTCATGTTCCAGCCATTGCTACCTTTTAAGGCTTGAAAAGCGTGCTTGTGGGATTTACTTGCTGTTGAATCTGCCTTGAATGAAGCACCTAGTGTTCAAAAGATTTATGGAATTTAAACCTTGGCTTGGTAAAAATATTTCCAGCATATGATTGAGGATGCACTAGTTAGATGATATTTTATTATATAGAATGTATATTTGAAATATTTTGCCACATTGTATATGCCTTTTGAGAAAAGAACAATGTAAGAAGTTGTCTTCATATATCTTACCAAAAGACAGTAGGAGGCTTTCACTGTGTGTGATTTTGTACTTTATTTTTTCTACTAGCCATTGCAGTGTTCTTGTTTTGCGGTAAATCTTGTTGGAGGAGGAGAAAAAACCAACCAACCAAACACAAAACAAATGAGCATTCTCTTCCAGCCTTCCAAAATTCACTCAAGTTTTGTGGAGGGAAGGAGCCTGGCAGAGTCCTATGAAGTCAATAGCAGAGCTTCTACTGACTTGAGTGGGACTGAGATTTCATTCCGGGTCCCCAGTGTTAAATGGTAGATGTTTAGTCTCTTTGAAAGATGTGTTGCTGCACAGTCACTTACAGGATATAAAGCTTACAAATGGGAAATTCACACATGTGGTAGTCATTTTTTACAAAAAATGTGAAAAGAGAACCTTATCGTATCTTGATGTCACTCTAATGCAATCAAAGCTGAGCAAGGATTAGACAAAATGGCTTCCACGCAGAAAGTAAGACACTGCCAGGTAGCATCTTGGTTACAGGCCTTGAAATTAGATTGCTGAAGTTGACACCAAGTTTGTAGAGAAAGTGACTGGCATCGGTGGGACGCTTGGTACAGTTAGGAGGCTGGCCTCATGGATGAGTTGAAGAAGGAATGGGCCTCACCGAGTTGCGTTTGGATGTCCTGTTCTAAGAGCAGCTCCTACCGTTATCCCCACCTTTGAGATCCCCTTGACATGAGAGGGGGTCGCCGTGCTTCCACTGCAGTATTGAACGCCTGGACTTCAGTCGGTGGCAAAATGACAGAACTCCTGATGTCTTTGGTAGGGCCAGGATTTTACCACTGGTAGGAAAATCCAAGCTTTTTGCCATAGAAAATACTTAGGAATTCTTGACTCCTAGCATCCTCTTGTGTTGATTTACTGATGTGCAGATAAATGTTAATTGAAGTTTCCTTTTTTAAAAAAGGAGCTTCCTGACAAATGGAAGTTTTAGAAGACGTAGTAGAAGATGAAGGACTCGAGTGTTAAATGCATTTTTTTCCCTTTCCACTTATTAATGGCATCATATATTCTAAAAATGCTGCTGTATTTAGACTAACAGCAACAGATAAGGCTGTGAATATATAAAGGACCTTTCCAAATGGATTCTGAGTTTTTACTGTTTAACTTATCAGGACTTTTTTTTTTTTTTTTTTTTTTCTTCTCCCCCTTGTGAGCAAACTGGAAAATGAGATGTTCCTACCCGAGGAATCTTTGCAGTGCTCACAGATTTTACTGTTAGTTTGTCACAATTCTGTGCTCATGTTTACTGTGCCCATAACTTTGTATTAAACAAAAAAAAGAATGTGTGTATATATATATATATTAAAAAAAGTGTAAAATATACATAGTTTGGGGACAATATCTGTCCAAGGTACTTGAGCATATATGCCTTACATTCTGGGTTCAATTTACAGAAATGAGATGGCCCTCTCCAGTGGATAACTCGCATCTTCAGCACCTCTTGATGTTAGAGAACTGAGGCACTCAGCACCTTGCAAAGTCTGGCCCAAATTATGCTGCATGGGGGTGGGGGGAAACTCAAGGAAAAGCCTGTTGCAATTTCAGTCTTGTACTGAGATGAAGTATTTTTCAGGCAGATCAGCATACTTGCTCAGTTAATGTTTTTGTCATACTTTGTGACTGGTCCATCTCCCACAGATGTCAGTTTGAGCTGAATCGGGCTCTTGCTTCATAAAAACTGCTCTCTTTCTCTGCCAGGTTATTCTTTGAGATGGAGGGAGGAGGAAAAGGATTAAAAGGAAGGGGAGGAGCAGCTTTGGAGGGCTTGGGTTACAGCTTTGTAAGAGAATCAAGGAAGGAATTTGCCATTTAAGTTAAAAACTAGCATCTGCTGATTGCAGCAGCTGTTGGACAGAAGGGCCAGCCTGGAGCTGGCTCAGGAGCATCCACGGCATCGTCACTGAGTGGACCCTCCTCGTCAGGGTTTTAGCGCATGTCAGGGTGATCTGAAAAACGTTCACAGCTTCAGCCACTGTTGTGGCAAAGGAGAGGCTTTGGTGTCCAGACCTGTCATTTCTGAGACACTGACAAATTCCCCTGCCCCACCATACTCCTCTTGCTTACTGAATTTCACCCAGGTTCAAGTTCTGTAGCATTTTCACCCTCTCTGTAAATAAACCAAAAATAAATGGCATGCCCTTGCATTAAATGTGAATTGAACAATGTATTACAGTTATAAAAATTCCTCACATTATGGCGTTGAGTTTTGCTTCCAATCCGCTGCAGAACCTCACTCTTTCTTTACAAATGTAGAAAAATGGATTTTCAGAAGTGTTTCAGACCTACTTATTGGGCATTAGCAGAAAGGAAGCTACACGTACTAATTTTAACAAGTGCCATATTATTTACTGGCCAGCATGATAAAAATGGGTTTTTTTGCTTGCGTTAAATAGTTGAGTACACAAGCACTATTTTCCAGTGCACAGGGAATTTATATGGAGAACTCCTGTAATTTGTTACTAAGGGAAATTAACTGTGTTACCTCTCTCATCCATGAGGATACAGTTTATTTTTGCCGGTGATGCTATGTTGTTAGGGGAAAGGGGGGGCGTGTGACTGTTTGAAATGCCGGTAGGTTGAGGCTGAGGTAAACGTTCTGAATGCCCGAGCAACGGAGAAACCCAAGTCCCACTCTGAAAAGTCAGCTAGGAACCTGCCTCCCGTTATCTCTGTGGGACTGAGGTTCCCAAGTGCCTGAGTTGCTTCTGGAAATGGCATGTTAGCTTTGGGATTACTTGCTTTTCTAAACCATAGCAAACTGGGAGGAAGTTCTTGAAGACGAGAACTACCGCTAGCATTAGCAATATGCAAACATGCTTTCATTGTGAGGTAAGAGGGAAAAGATCCTCTAGCGAAATAAAAATCTCCTGGGGCAATAATTGCCTTGGTTTTAGCGTGAAGAATATTGCATTGTTTTAGTGAACTGGGATCATGTGAGTGTGAGCAAAAAAATTGATCTTGTAATTTTAATGAGTTATCTTGAAGCATATAAATTCCTGATGTGCATTAACTTGAGTGAATTGGGCCTTAATGATCCATGTAAATAACAAAACTGTATTCAGATATTTTTTCCAGAAAATAGTCTCTAATGGTCTGTACTGTATTAAAATAAGTGTCAAAGTGTTACTTTTATATTACACCTTATTTTTTTTTTTTTTTTTTTTTTTTTTAGAACATTGATACATGCATGTTTATTCTATTTGCTACAGTATTTTAATGTTTTGGATGAAGGCCATCGGTTGTATGGAGATGACAAAACAATCGTTCTGTCTATTTATTCAGTATTGCTGCTTAAAGTTTTCAAAATAAAGCTTTCAATGCCAATATAATGACTGATTGAAAGCTGTTCTAGCTCCCTTCAGATGTTTTTTTTTCTATGTTTATAGAAAACTAAATAAGTGAAACTTGGTATATAAACTGTTATACCAGCAAAGAATTGTTGCAATAATATTGTGGGGAGGGGCTGGGGGTAAGTGTGAGTACTATATACATAAATGTATGCATGCAGTGAATGCGTTTAGGTCTCAAGTAAATGGAGTGCTGAAGAATGTTCGAATCCTTCGTGGCCTTGCAAGCAATTTACACATGCGGCCCAGTACTGGTTAGTGCTTCACGCCAGCGTGCAGTGCTTGTGAGGGGCAGAACAAGCAGGGGTGGTCACAAAGGGTCAACTCGGAGCCCTTCAAACCAAGTGGGATTTAAGCACATTCTTGAGTATTCCATAGACGTGTTTCTGAATTGGGCCTAAAAGCATGTTCTGATACAAAAATCTTTCAGTTGCAGCAAGGATGCCTTGTTTCAAACGTAGCTGGTACCTCTGAAAACGTGAGTGGTTTTGAGATGGATCGAGCGTGCCTGCTCTGTTTGTAAGGGGTATCAAAAGGCAGAGAACGTTCACCCTCATGATCGCCCCATGAAACTACTAACTAGGGGTTCTGACTGGAAGATGTGAGTTGCTGATGCTTTAACCTAGAGAAGCAACGCAAACTAACTGTGAAAACACGAGTGAGCATTCTATTACTGCTCTGCTTCAATGCAAGATGAAAATCTGTATTATATGTAACTATATTTTTTGTCATTTAAAAAGCTTCTATTTTTTATTATTCTCATGAATGATTGACAAAAGATGTTGGATATGCTCCCATACAATAAATTCCCCTCTGAAACTTTGGGTCTTTACCGTTCGTGGTTTGCTGGAATTGCAGCGTACATCTCGCGCACATCTCGTGATACAGCTACCGGAACTCTGTGTGTCGAAGAACATTCAGCCTGAAAGCAGGCCAAGGTAGTGCTCAGTGCGTCTAGAGCTCGAACGCTGTCAGAAATGGCCGTGTGTTGAGCATTAGCACGTAACGAGCACTCCTGAATGGGAATTTACTTAGAGGTGTGGGACATAAAACTGGTTGGTGTGGGGACGCTATGGAAGACAAGAGAGGTCCTCTACCATAAAGTGTGCACATGCTGTATTTTAATCGGATGTAGCCCAGGAACTATAAGGGAATGGAGTAGCTTGTTTTCAACTGAGGAACTGTTACTAAGATTAATATTAATCCTGAAAAGATAGAATTGGTCAGCGACTCGGAGGAAGCGTAAGTTAAAGCAGAGGCAGGGATTTGTTTGGAGATGATCAGGGAGAGGATTTGAATGTACAGAATCTTCACGCAACAAATCCAAGGGGCACAGATGCTTCAGGGAGCAGGAAGAAATTAAGCTTTGAACAAGGAACCGAAGACCCGATTCAGGCTTAGTCCTTGCGCTGAAGACCGGAGGGCCTGTGAAGATGGCTTGAGATCATGTGAGTTAATCAAGGCGGGGAACTTGCTACAGCTGGGGACTTGTGATTTAAGCCATCCAAATGCAGTCCTTAGTCTAATATCCCAACACGTGGCTTTTCCTAAGCCAACTGGAGCCTGATCTCATTCGATGTGAGGAGAAACGAGCTAACAGCAGTAGCGCTGTTGACTGGCGATAAGACGAAGAACGTCATGAGCTCCA